ATGCGTTTTTGCAAGTGTTTCAGATGCATGTAAGTGTTTCATCTGACTTTAGAGGTATGTTGCAAATGTTGCATCTGGATGTTTTCAAAAGTAGATCGGGTGTTGTGTCTCTCCTCGCTTTCTGCTTCCTCGTCTCGGTGTCTCCTCCTCCTCCCGGCGCCGGCTAGTCATCCACCTCCCCCTCTCCCTCTTCTCGATGTTAGTGACGTTTGAGGCGGCGTGGGCACCACATGGGCGCGTGAAACCGCGCGGGAAACGGACTACGCATGCACGTCCGGGGGCTAGCGAGACTGACAATTTTATCCTCCGATCCTCACGTATGCTCCTCCCATCCGGTCCTGTGGAAAAAATATGTATGTATGAAAACCCCCCTGTGACTGTGATGACCCAGTCAAATTGGACAGCATCATCGCAAAAACGAAATGCTCCTAATAATAATAAAATAAACAATGATGGAGGAGGCACTCATCCGTCCGTCCGTCCACATCCAGGGATCGCCGTCGCTGCGTCTCGTCTGGTTGGTAGCGAACTGACGAAGCCGAAAGCCTGAAACGACGTAGTACGGCTGGCTACATGCCTCATCAGAACTTAGGAGAGAAGGGAAGCGTCCGCGAAGCTTCATGCCCGCACTTGCATTGGCGCGCGTCGTCCTCAGTGGAGACCGAGCCGCTGCGACGACCGGTGACGGAGCCACTGCAGCACCAGCGAATTGAGACGAAAGCGGCGTCTCCGTCTCCGTCCCGTCGTCGTCGGCGACGCAGCCACGCACACACTGTGTCGACGACGACGGCAGCTTTTGAACGCTTCAAAGGCATGCAGGCAGAGGCAGTCGGCCGCCTCGCCGGTCGTTGCTCAAAGCCATGTGTGCGTGCGCGTGCACTGCAGCTCGCGGGGTCTCCATGTCCCGTGCTTCTTCCTCGCTCACAGTAAAGGTTTTAATTGGTGCAAAAAAAATGGTTTTAATTGGTGCAAAAAAATGGTTTTAATTGGTGCAAAAGAAAAATCAGGAGACTTAAACTAAATTTTAGGTAATTTGACAAATTGTGAATATGTTTAGTTGGATGCCAAAGCTTTTTAGAAAAAATATAATAGAGGTGTGGACGCTTATATGCCCTTTAATTTTCAATTTTCGCAACCTTAATTCATTTTTACACTACTACAAAAGAGCTTATGAGAGGCGGTACAAAAGCAGAGGCAGCCAAATATGAACTAAAGAGTTTATCCGGCGCAAGGTCTCTACTAATCCAAGATTAATATAGAGCCTCTTAAAATTGCTGTGTACTTTTAGAGACACGAACGCTTATTGACTGTCTCTTAAAATTGCTTAAAATTATTTTTTTCTAGTAGTTTTACTTGGCCATCAAATCATTGACACCAGTTTCATGCCTAAATCTGGCTTGATTAGGTGGGACATCACAAAACACATAGAAGTCACACCATTTGTGCTTTTTTCTTAGGACAACTCATGTGGTGTCGCATGGAAATCGCTTTAGAAAGGGCAAAGAAAATTTTCCAATTACAAGAACAGCATATGCGCGCTCACCACACCCCTGCACACCGGCAAGTGGGCGCACCCTATCACATGTCAAATAAACCGTTGAAAGCACTTGAACGTGTGCACATTGCAACTGCTAAGGTTTATTCTAACACCATTTCATTGGTGAGAATAACTTATGCCAACTAAAATATTATTTTAATTACCATGTCTCCTAGACTCGAGGAACTAAATAATGTTAGTAACAGTGCAATAGCGGTGATAGCGTGTCAACCAGTACTGCTATAAGGTAGCATCCAAAACTTCGCACATTGGAATTTAGCGAGTGCTATGTGTTACTTGCCATATTGCTATAGCACTTGTGAGATGGCATGTTGTTTTTAACTAAATTCTCCATTTTTATTGTTTTAAAAACCTTCGTTATATCTTGTTGTCTTTTTGCACGAACGATTGAATGATTGTTATGATGAAAGTGATGATACATACATAATTAATCACAGTTTGTGTTTTTTTAAATAGCACTACATGCTATCCTCCTACACCTGTGACAATCCACTTTATTATTAGCTTGTCTCGACTTAAATTGCTTGAAAGTAACATTCTCTTCCTCCATGCCTTGCACAATAGTGGGAGGGTGCATTTTGGGTCTAGGATGTGTCCTCAAACTTAAACGAAGTGTCTATGTCAACACCTCAGTAATGGGCAACGAAAAAGGAGGGTGGTGTAGCTACACATAGATGACCTCACCGGCATTGCTACGAAAGGTTGGTGGCAAGAGGAAATGAAAACACATCAATTAACATTGGAACAGGCCAAACGGTGACAGATCTAGGATAGTTAACTAGATGATCGAGCTAGGGATCTAAGCTACCTTCATCCTCGTATTTTCTCTCTTTCTCTTCATATTCCTCTTTCTCTCCACCTCCTTTATTCATACATACAAATTGTTTTTTGTGGTAGGTGACTTGGGGGAGGGAAGGATATGGTGCATATGTCCCATGATGGGTAGAGGGCTTGAGCTCCCCTCCCAACCCTCACGATGAATTCACCACTGGCCGTGGGATCCCCCAATTGATTGTGGGATGTGATTGATCAAAATTTCCTTATATAAATAATGGGCACTGGTCAGCTGGTCTTCTTTTTACTTCTTCTTTCCCCTTCCTAATCCGACCCACCACACTCTGCCGCCACCTCCAGAGGCCTCCACCAGCCATGGTCACCGAGATACTTCACCCCATAGCATGGACTCCGTGTACGTAACCAGAGTCCGTATTATGCGATTTTTTGGGTGGGTGATTGGGTTCCCATTATGGGTAGGGGGCTCAAGCCCCCCCCCCTTTAAACCCTCACATTGTATTCAGCCTTAAGTGCAGATCAAAAGGCTCGGATCCTCTAGAGATGAGCAAAGGATAGAAATGTAAGAGAGCATTCTAGTTGCAGTTGCAACAAGATTAGAAGATTGAGATTAGGTGAGGCAAAAGATTAGAAGATGTAGAAGAAATTGTTATTGGAACAACCATATGCAAAAATTTTACTACAACAATAAAGATCATGTCTTATATCGATTCATCATCATCAGACCATCTTTTCAAAATGTAATTAACCATGAATTCAGGCCTAATAAATTTCTCGGTCATTGAATGAAACAAAAACACATTTAAATTTATTGTCCACACGCTCTCACCCAACATATGAAAGACTACCAATAAACCTAAAACTACCCACATTATTATTAGATAAGTTGTTAAACTTTGTCACTAAAAAAATCTTCCTTCGTACATACAAATTGTTGTGGTAGGTGATTGAGGGAGGGAGGGTGGTGCCCATTTCCTATGATGGGTAGGGGCTTGAGCCCCCCTCCCAACCCTCACGATGAATTCAACCTTGAGTGTAGCTCTCTGGTTGTGTTGTGTAGTGTAACTAGTGACTAGTGCTCGTGTAGTGCTTGTGCTTTTGTGCGCTTTGCTATTTGTGAACTTTGTAAACCATCAAAGACCCATTGAATGCTCCTCCAATGGACTAATGAGTGAAGACATATTTGAGTAATGAGTGAGAAACAAAAAAGAGGGACGTGTCTCCTCTCTGCACTGCTTTTTGTGCAAATTTTGATAAATTGGTCATTTTTGTGATCCACTGGTTGGCCGTGGGATGCGATTGATCAAAATTTTCTTATATAAGTAATGGCCACTGGGTGGTCTTCCTTTCTCTTCTTCTTTCCCCTCGTTAGTCCAACCGCACCCTTCGCCGCCGCCTCCAGGCCTCTCCACCAGGCATGGCATACAAAAATGTTTTTTGGTGGGTGTGACTGGGGAGGAAAGGAGGGAGGATAGCGTCCATTTCCCATGATGGGTAGGGTGCCCAAGCCCCTCTCTAAACCCTCACGCCGTATTCAGCCTTAAGTGCAGATCCATGGGCTCGATGTGCAGAGTATAAAATGTAAGAGATCATTCTAGTTGTAATTGCAACAAGATATTGAGATTAGGTGAGGCAACAAGATCATAAGATGTAGAAGAAATTGTTATTGGAACAGCCTTGTGGAAAAATTTTACTATAATACATGCCTTATATCGATTCATCATCATCATACCATCTTTTCAAAATGTAATTACCCATGAATCCCGGCCTAACAAATTTCTAAGTCATTAATAAATGAAATAAAACCTCATTTAAATTTATTGTCCACACGCTAGACGACCAATAAACCTAAAACTACCTACATTATTAGATAATAAGTTGTTGTTAAACTTTATTACTCACAAAAAAAATCAACATCCCTAATCCGAGCACCTATACATACCTACAAAATGGTCGGGCGCTTTGTACATTCCCATCATCTCTTAAACAACGAGAGAGAGATATGCCCAAACCGCGTGACATTTTTAATTCCATTCTCCCTTTCTTTCGTTCCAATTTAATTTCTTGCTTGTGGTCTTGGCATGGTTGCCCGGTCAATCCAACCCCGTCGCCAACTGAATCCCCCACCTCCTCTTCCTCCTCCCCACAGCAGGACCAGGCCAAGTCGTCTCCTTTTCCACCACCACGCTCTCGCCTGTTCCTCTCCCCCTCCCGGTCTCCTCCCCCTCCCGCCAGGCCGCTACTCCACCCTCCCCCTCTGCAGATCCCCGCCGGGTATTATTTCTCCGGCTCGCCTCCGTCGTCGGCGCCCCGCCGTGCCATTCCATCCAGGTAATCCATCAATTCCCGTGCTTCCGTTCCGTGTCGTTTTACTGTACAGTCTCATTCCGTCGGCCGTGCTGCCAATGGTTGATTCGTCAGGAAAAAGACCGTCTTTTCTTGTATCAATCCTTGTGCGCGATTCTAATTTCGCTAGTTTGGCGGATCAATTGGGCGGAGGCTCACCGCGCCATGTCAATTTGCAGGTCTTGATCCGTGATCCCGCCGGCGTCGTCGGACCTGTGCTCAGCGCCGGCGGTACGAATTGCCATCCGGCGCTATTCGCCTGCTGATTCAGCGGTGCGGGGCGGCTGATCCAGTGGCGAATTTGATGAATTCGCGCCGGTCGAGGTCGGTGAAGCTGGTGTCGGCGCGCGCCAACAGGGCCCTGGAGGTGGACATCGCGGAGGAAGGCGAGGACGCGCGGATGAGCTCCTCCGCCGCCAACACCGTGTACTGCTGTATCGCCAAAGGCCGGAGTGTCATCTATCGGTACAGCAGCAGCAAGGGCGGCGACAGCAGCGGCGACCCACAGGTGGAGGCCACCGCCGCGCTCTGCCTTGAAAGCTCGCCGCCGCACCACCGGCATTACGTCCACACCTCTGGGTGCCGAAGCTACGGCTACCTGATGGTTGACGGCCACACTTTCTTCGCCATCATCGACCCCAGCGTCGGGAGCGCCGGTGCGCTGCAGTTCCTAGAGCGTGTACGGGACGCGTTCCGGAGCAGCGGTGGCGGCGGCAGCAGGAACAACGGATTCCATGAATCTCTGGTGCCGGTGGTCCAGAGACTGGTGGCGTCACTGGAGAAGATGCCCCATGTCGCGTTCGTTCTCGAGGAGGATGGCGCGGGCGCTGGCGACGGTGGCAACGGCTGCACGTCGTCATCGCCATCTAAGGTGCCTCTGCTCGGGAAGAGTGGGAGCAGGAAGGAGAAGCGGCGGTCCAGGGACAAGCTAGCGTCGGCGACGGGGGACAGCGAGGATGAGCACCACGGGACCAGGGCGGTGAGGATAGACGTGCCAAATGAGGAGGTCGCCGGCGGCATGTCACTGGAGCGCAGCGTGAGCCAGTCCAGGCTGCGGAGGCAGCAGCAGCAGCCGTCACGGTCACTATGGATGCGCCATGTGAAGGTCATCATCGTCATCAACGCCGTCGTCTGCCTCGTGCTGTTCGCGGCTTGGCTGGCAGTGTGCAAGGGATTCCAGTGTGTTTCCGGGTGATGAACTGATGATCAATGGGAACCTTTGCATCAGTTGTGTACAGTTTTTGAGGAGCAGAGATTGCTCTGGGTGTGGTGAGGTTTGATATCTTCCTTCGATTCGATTCGATTCTCGGAAGGGTAAATACAAGGCAAGAGAAATGTTGAAGGAGAGATGGAGGGAGAGATCATGTGGTAAAAGATCGGCGAGAATTGGGTGGATGGATAATACAACCCACCAAGAGATAGAATGTTCAATGATCAGATCATGGAAATGGAGGATCCATGTGTTGAACATGTGCATATGCTTCATCGTCTCTGTACATGAGAATTTGTTTCTAGGATTCTTTTTTTTTGTAGGTGCCATGCGTGCGCACGTGTGTGATACTCAGATTCCATTGCAAATAATATTTGCGCAGATGATGATATGATATGCATTTGCTTACAGTATTTGAGTCAATAGGCTTTTTTTTTTTTTCATTTGGCCTTCCCTTCCCGTCGATTTATGGTGCTGGATTTGTTGTTTGATATGTGCCCAACTGTGGAGGGTTACGGCAGCCGATTCAAATTGCCTAGTTGGATTCATCACAAGCGGGTACCTGTCTTCTGAACTTTTATCTGAATGGCAGGTTCCATGTAAAGAAAGATGTAGAGATTAGCTCAGAGCAGTTTTGTTGATCGTGTGATGAACTGATGACCATCCCCTCCCCTCCGCTCCAGCAGCATGTATCTGAAGTGCCTGATCGCATCCATCCTTTTCTAGTTCGTCCCAATCGACGTGAGACTCACCCTGTGTCAGATGATGTTTAAGCTGGACATGATGGTGCCGGGGTCGAAAGTTTGCCAGCAACATCATGCTGGATGCTGATCAGGTGGCAAGTGGCGTAAGATGGTGATCAGGTCCATCGACATTCCAACATGTTAAATCATAGTGAGACACGGAGGCCGCGAAGGCCAAGCCGGCATGCCTCGTGCCTGAACAGACCGAGTTACATTACTCACATGGTATGCTGAAGCTGTTTCAGAAGGCAAGGTACTGATGCCGTTGTGGATGCAGCTTTTCAGCTACTGTTTTTTTTTTTGAAACTTTGGTGGCTCTACGGCCTTTCATTACCATAACCAGACTGTCACGGTTCCAATGGAAACCATGACGATAACTAGAATCGGAATGGAGATTGGGAAGAGCAAGAACAGGGATTGGGAACAGACGAAGGATTGGTTTCTATACAGAGAGACGTTCAGAGTTCAATCGTCACTGAGCAATCGGTTACAGGCGTTATTTATACGCCGCCTGGCCATCACGGCCGTTACATCCACCGACTCACCACAACACTAATCACCGTCACCCCACGTTAACGGCCGCCAGCTTCTCCATTGTCGGACGCCCAATAGTAACCGACCTCCGCTTCCTTGCCTTGCCCTTGCCGCTCCTGACATTGCCCCTCCCTTGAAAGGCAGGTTGTCCCCAAGCTGCATGATTAGGATAGCTGCGGCTCAAATCAGTGGCTTCTTCCCATGTGAGCAGCGTCGGAGCTCGATCAGACCACTGCACTTGAATCTGAGAAAGAGTCGAAGCACCCTTCCGGACCATCCTATTTGCCAGAAAGTGCAGAGGTTGGAGCTGCTGGTTTGGATCATCAGGCACAGCAGTGATATCATCTTCCACAACAGCTGATGGTGGAATATGGCGCTTGAGCTGTGAAACATGCACCACAGGATGTATCCGACAAGCATCAGGTAGCTCCAATCGATATGCTACAGCTCCAATTCGTTCCAGCACCTTGAATGGCCCATAAAACCTGAAACTCAACTTCTGATTGGACCTTGGAGCTACTAAGGATTGAATATACGGTTGTAACTTCAGATAGACCATGTCCCCAACCGATAGTTCCCTTTCTGAACGGTGTTGATCAGCATACTGTTTCATCCTTTGTTGAGCCCTATGCAACTGGTGCTGAATCACATCCTGAAGTAAATTTCTTTCCAGTAACCACTGATCTAGCTCTGGAGCATGTGCCTGAGCCTCATTGGTAATACCAAAGTGCCTGAGAGTGTGGCCATACAATACTTCAAAGGGAGACCGGCCCAATGCTGAGTGGTAGCTAGTATTATACCAGAATTCAGCATGTGGCAACCATTTAGCCCACTGCTTTGGACATGAATGCACGCTGCATCTAAAAAATCCTTCCAGACATTGGTTTAATCTCTCGGTTGGGCCATCTGTTTGTGGATGGTAAGAGGAGCTCATGATAAGCTGAGTATCAGTGAGTCTGAACAGATCTCTCCATACTGCACTTGTGAAAATTTTATCTCTGTCAGAAACTATGCTCTCTGGCAACCCATGCAATTTGTAGACATTGTCCATATAGGCCTGTGCAACTTGTATGGCAGTAAATGGATGAGACAGGGGAATAAAATTGTCATATTTTGTAAACTTATCAATTACCACCATGATGGTGTCAAATCTCTGGGACTTGGGAAAACCCTCTACAAAATTCATGCATACTACTTTCCAAGCTTGTTCTGGAATGGGCAAAGGTTGCAATAAACCTGGTTGCTTCACATGTTCAATTTTTGCTTGCTGGCATATAGAGCATGACTGGATGTTGTGGCAGAACCGTCCGAAATAACACGCTTTCGGAGGCGCTCGTCTTCCACTAGACACTAAGCACCTCGAAAGTGAGCTACATCGGACAGTTCCGTTGAGCACACCCCAAGGGAGAACTTGAAACAATTCACGCTTTACATCCAGAATCCAATAATGAGTACAAGCTTACAATACTTAGTCCATTTCATACAACAAGAGTTCTTGGAAATTATTTATTACAATACCAGAGTTCAGAGTGCGATAATTAAACAGCGGATTGAAAATAAACATCTAACGGAAACGATATAAGGATCCGTCTGTGCCCACCAGAAGAACCCTACAAACAAGAGCTATTCCTCAAGCTGCACCTGCAACAAGGGTAAAATAAACCATGAGTACACAATGTACTCGCAAGACTTACCCGACTAGTGGGAATAGTTTCCCGACTCTCAAGGATATGATAGACAATATGGGTTTACTGTTTTCTTTTTGTTTTCGGAAAGCATTACTAATAGTTCATCCTTATAGTCAGGTTTTATTAGCAGCCATGATTACTTCATTAGCTAACCATTCTATGTAAGCACTTGTTCTACTTTCAAGCAAGGGTTAAGCAATCAGAACCATTTCATCATCTTTCATCTTCTAGTTCTTACTACGGTGCTAGACTATAGCCAAGTCGTACTATCTCATAAAAACAGCGATTCGCGAACCAATGTATCCCAGCTGAGTACCCCAAAACACACGTCCCGTTTGTACCCCAGGCACAAACAAGACCAACCCATTTCACTCCTGTCATAAGGTCCAGGTCCCCGTCCAAACTTGGACTCTAAGCCCCCACACTTGAGACCTAGTCTCAGTATGGTGCTTAGACCTCCACCTTTTTCCACCTCCAATCAGTCGGTCCGAAAAGAGCCGGGGCCCACGACAAGAGCGTAACGAGCCTTCCCGCTCCCATAAGCAAGTACGTGCTCAGGATAATAAGTCTGTGACCTGACTACCATCCACAACAACAGACGGTCCTTAATTGAAACGAACAGAGAAATAGTGTAACCAAGCTAAGCTTCATTGGCCACGGGACACAACATGTTACACCCACCAATACACATATCATATCCCTGCCCTGTCTCCATTTTTTCTTTCATCATTTTATTATGAGAGTAATAATAATCCCCTATTGTGAGCAACGTCAGGTTACTCACGCTACCGATAACCTAAGCATAGCATCTACTCGAACTTGCACTAGTAAGACTCTTAGGATAGGTGTATCTATGCATGTGGTTTCCAAAAAAAAATTATGTAACATAAATGCACAACACATTTATATATGGTGAATTATAAAATAGAGGTTATGCACAAGGGCTTGCCTTGGGTAGGCGCGGTGTCAGCTGAGTCAGTCAGTGACGGCTCCAGGACCTCCTCCTGCACGAGAATCTTCTCCTCAAACTCCTCAACGATCTCCTCGAACTCGTGATCGCCGGTGGTCATGATGTCTACCAACTCGTTCTCTACCTGCATGCGATGATGATGCAACACTTAACATTTAGGCAACAACTCTTAAACTAAGAATGCGCATACCAAGCTACTAAACTATCTCTAATGACTAAGATACTAAGCTAACTATCATCTTCATCAAGCAAGGTGTTGGATTCAACTAACAAACACTTAGTTTTTGCAATTTAAGGGTATATTTTTATTTCTACTAATGATTTAATGTATATTGAAACAAAGAGCATTTAACTACCCTAATGCTTAGTCTATTCTAAGGCTACAAAAATTACAGTGATTACATAATAATACAATGAAGCTACTATAAAATTTTCAGGACTAAAGCTATCACCAATTTACCAAAAAAATTCCTACAATAATTAACTTAATATTATTAAGCATCCTCAAATGATTTAATGGCTCCTAATGTCAACACGTATAAACATGAACTAAATACACCAACCGATAGAGCACAATTTTAGGAACCTAATAAAATTTGTTTCATAATTTTTGGACACCTACATGATTTTATATGATTTACCAAAGATCAGCTCAAAAATTAAATTAAAAAACCATTGCTAATTCCTTATGAAAAAGAAAACTAAATCTCCCGTGTGGCCCGCGCGACACAGCGCGCGCGCAGCGGCCCGCTGGTTTTCGGCGGCCCGTGGCGGGGGAGTCCCACGCGCGTTGGCGATTTTATAAAAGAGACCTCGAGCTCCTCCCAATTTATAACTAAGTACTAACACTATTTTCTCCTCTCTCATACCTTCTCACTTAACCCCCTGACTTTTCCCTCATTCACCCGCGTGCACCCCCAGCGACTCAGCGCACGGCAGCACGGCGGGCGATGACACGGCGTGACCATGCCGGCCACCAGAGGCTCGCGCTGGCCCGTCGGTCGGGCCGACCTTCAACTACGGTCCAACACCAAGCAACAATGCAGGGCG